TTCCTGTTAAAGGTGAGATCATATGGTATTTGTCTTTTAGTGCCTGGCTTATTTCACTCAGCATAATGCTTTCCAGTTCCATCTATGCTGTTGCAAAGGGTAGTAGCTCCTTCTTTCTTTACGCTGCGTAGAATTCCATTGTGTAAATGTACCATAATTTTTTGATCCATTCATTTACTGATAGGCACCTAGGTTGCTTCCAGTTCTTGGCTATTGTAAATTGTGCTGCTATGAACACTGGGGTGCAGAATATACTTTTCAAATAGACACATATAAAGAAAAAGGAACACTAGATACTATTTAAAATAACTACTAAACTTGCCTTTAGATAGATGAAAAAACTGCCAGGGTAAGCTGCTTCATTTGCTACAAATGTAACCATTTGTCTGAGTTCTTACCATTCCTGTATTGGATTAACGGCATGCTTAAGTTGGTATCAATAGTTGCTCTGTTACTTAAACAATTCATTTTAGATGTGACTATAGGTATGTATTGAGTCTGACATGTACATCATCCTCATTCTCAAGTATCTTTATGCTATTTGCTTTTCTGGGGGGATTATATAGAATATTGTTTCCTTCTCTAATGGATGAAAGCAAACTATTTCTTTCAATGATAGTGTTTCTTGAACACTTTTATTCTGTTCCAAGTGTCCTTCATTTGGCAAGGCCTTTAAATTTTCATTTCTTTTCTCTTGCAGTTCTCAGTTAGTAAATGCTGAAGTTGCATAAGAAAGAATACGCAGGAGTGGGCAAAAGTAACTTTATAAAGTTTACTTTTGAGTACACAAAAAGTTTATTCTCATATTCGTTTTTATTTATTAGTTATTGCATTATGGATTATTATTATTAACCTACTTTTGCTCATCTCTGTATTGGATGCTATCTCCAGTCCTATAACTGGTTCAAATAGTTTAATTACCTTTCCAAATAACTCTGGCAATCCTCTCTTTCCCCATGCACACAAACACATAAACAAGCACATGCACATGTACATGAGTGTATGCATGTGCACAAATATGCTTATTTGGCCTAAATTGCCAAGTCAATCATTGGTGCCATTTGGATAGCACCATAGAAGGAAGTTGAAGATCAAGGTTCCCTATGAGCTATGGGTGGGCAGATAGTAACTTCATTTGACTCGCTCCCCTTTTTTCTAACAATAGAAAGCAAACCGCTTCATAGGCAGAAGGGGGAGAACAGGATTGTGTGTCCAACAACTCACCAGTTAAGTACTGCACCCCTTCCATGGTCTCAGCTCTCTGGAAGATGTTAGTACCTGAGAAAGCAGATATATTTGCCAACATAATGCCTATTTTGTTCTTGGAGATCACGGTGTGGTGTGATGACCTAGATGAGCATTTTTACTCCTGTATTTCTTGTAACCAAATGAAAAGGTAGTTAGAAACTGGGAAATCTTTATCGTAAGTATGGTTACAATGTTTATTTTTACATAACAAGTTCACACAAGAGGACAGCTAAATCAGGAGCAGAACCATAGAAATGAAGATCACATGGAGGGTTCCCAACAGGGGAGTGGGAGGAGGAGAGCGGGGAGAAGGTACAGAAAATAAGTAGCATAGATGGTAGGTAGAAAATAGATAGGGGGAGGGCAAGAATAGTATGGAAAATATAAAATCTAAAGAAGTTGTGACACATGGACATAAACTAAAGAGGGGAATGGTGGGAGAGGGGATGTGCAGGGGGAGGAGAATGAAGGGGGAATAGAACAACTGTAATGGCATAATCAATAAAATATATTTTTAAAAAACAAGTTCACACAAATCAATACAAGAAAATATGAACGAAATTGTTTGTGGGGGAAAACTATCAACAGACAACTATAAAAGTAATCAGTGTGAGCGAAGACCAAGGTTTAACTTTTTGGAACTCTTTAGAAACTATTTTAGCAATTCGCTTTAGTATCCTTAAAATTGTAGCTTTGGAACAAGTGATCACCATCCTAAAACCCATACAGTGGGTTGAGAAGTAGGGAGGAGCCCTGACTGGTATGGCTCAGTAGTGTGGGCATGCTACTGCATATTTTGTCAGGGTATGTGCCCAGGTTGCAGGTGCCAGGTCCCTGGAAGGTGATGCACCAGTGTTTCCCTCCCTCTCTTTCTTCCTCCCTTCCCCTCTAAAACCTAAATTGATGAAAAATCTTTTAAAAAGAAGTGGAGAGGAGATTAGCATCAATAATTAGTTTGAAAAGTCACCTACAAAGTGTTCCTGAGATTTAATGTCACTGAAGTAGTCAAATCAGTTCAAAATAACCATATGAAGTGAATGCAATGTATTTATACTGCTTCACCTTTAAAGGAGATAAGGAACAAGGCAGAAATGTACTGTCTTCATGGTATTAATTTACATTTCTGACATTTAAATCACTCTTTATTTCTCTATGACTGTTCTTTGAATTATTCTTGAGTTAATTTGCAAATATGCTATTTTTTAAAATGCTTCAAGGCATCCTTCCTGTTGACTTGCATCGCCTTGGTATCTCCCCGATCATAGAGTAATAAAGCTGTCTTTCATCACAAAAACATCAGGTATTTGCTCCTTTATTTAAAGACATTAACATATAATAGATTGTGGTGCAAGAAAACCAATTAGGGATATATTTTAGGCTTCCCAAATCCCTGAAGAAGAAAAGCTTGCATATCCCTCTCTATATTTGCCATTCTATGTAAATTCACTTAAAATTGCTTTTTAAATATCCCCGTGTTGATTTTTAAAGTGCTTGATTTTTCAAAAGTACAATTTACTATTTTGAAACTTTGAATTCAATCTCGAAGGGATGTAAAGTTATTTAGTCTATATAATGGAAGGCTTTTTTAAATACAAAAACAGCCAACATCTGATGTTTCCCTTAGTATTCATTCTAAAACAAAGAAATGAATTAACTCTGACTGTTCACTCAGCCTGTTTCTCACAAGTTTAAAATAATTTTTTAAAAAATTAAATAAACTACAAAGGTCCAAACTTTTGATGAGAAATTTAGTGAGAACTCTGATTTTTTTTTTTTTTTTTGGTGTCAAATGGGAGAACTTTGAATTTGACTTATGAGAGTTAAAGCATTTGGCATTTTATTTTTTAAAGGTTCATAGGAATTATATCCTCAGCAGTTGTATGTTTCTGTTAGTTAGGCCTTTTTTTTAGATTTCCAATGGTAACGGGATTGGGATTATTTCTAACTACTGACCATGACCCCCTGCAGCCAAGTGAGAGACATTAGCTTTCTAGAGGCTGCAAGAAACCGTTTGGTAGGTTACACTTAGTGGGAAGTAAATAACCCCCTGAGGTATGTAGGAATGAGTTCATTTCACACGCACAACCAAAGCCTCTCAGGGATTAATGTGATCTTTTGGTTCAATGTAGGATCAAAATTCTGAGAAATGAAAACTAATTTATTTTTAAAAGTTATTCTACAAATACACTTTAATATATGTCAATTATTAGAAACTTTGTCTAAGACAGGCCTATCAACCAAGCACTTAAAATAACGAAGGAAAGAATGAGAAATGTGGAAACATTGATGATACACTAACAGGGTAAGTATGAATCTATGTCACCAGTAACAAACACTATGTGAGAAGCAAGTCTACATAACCATTTTTCAATTATTTCTTCATAGGGTGAGATTTAATAAAAATGACTTGTTCTTTAATAACTCATCTCTCTTACCAAATACTGTGAATCAGAAAACAAACAAATGGAAGGATATGATCTATAGATTATGTATTCATTCATTCAACAAGTAATCATGGAATGCTAACTAGACTACAGGTAGTGTCAGAACTGGGAATATTTGTATTATCTATATTCAGTCATTTATTAATATTGTTTCTCACTATTCCCTTAAATGAGGTCTTTTGTGTATAGGAGAGATGGTATTCACTCCATTCCTAAGTATTCCCTTAAAAAATATTCTTTTTTTTCCACTGGGATCAAACTATCACCTACACATGTAACATTTATTTGTCCCCTTAACTGTAAATATAATCAGAAAGGCACTGGGATGGATGAAACACCCCATACAGAAAAGCCTTCTCAAAATAACATTTAATATGATGGCTTGCAATCACAAAAGCAAGGTTTTTAATTTTCTTCTTCCTGGGTACATTTGAAATTTGTAGAAGTGATTTGTTTTGAAAAGCCGAAGAAAAGGGGGGGATGGGGGAAACAATACACAAAAAGCAAAGTCTTGTACTGAATACTTCATTCTAGATTGGTCATTGATGATATAGTTTTACTAGTTTTCACAATTATCTTGTGCTAGGAAATGGACAAGAACCCATTTTTGGTGCTTTGTCACTTATGTGAGCTTTTTCAGTAGTTTTGCTCTCCCTGGGAAGCCTTAATTAGGAGAAACCTATGAAATGTAGCTAAAAATGAAAACTACAAGTTTGAAGAACTTCCTAGGTGTTTGTGCTTTGCCTGAACAGGTATGTTTTACCTGTTGGGACCATTTTAATTACTCCTTTTCTTGATACTGGCTAATTTTTTGAAATAGTCCCGATTTAAATATCTAATTTCCCAAAATGTGTTAAATGCTTAAACTTCAATATTCTAACTTTCCCGGAATATTGGACTTATATTGAATTAAAGCATTTATAAAGGTTTTAGATTAACACTAAGACTGCAGGTCTATAAATTTAAATGAAAACTGGTAATGGGTAAAAAGGAATAGAGAGTACATATGGTAAATCATTGCCACTGTAACTATTTGAATTTTTTGGAGATCTCATTTTCATATATTTTAATGATTATAATGGTACAGAGCAAGTAGGCCCATAAAGTATGAAAAATTATATCCCATTATTTTAGTTTTTCTTTTGTCAGTTTATACAAAGACTGCATCTTGTTTTTCAACACTTTGATACATATATCAATATAATATGTATTTTTATTTTTCTAGATTTAAGTTTTTACATGCTATAGATATTTTTTCAAGCGCATATAACTAAAAAATGTTTTGAAGTGAGGACATTCTTCACAGCACTGTTTACAAATGTAGAATGTACTGAAAATGCTATACATTTCATATTCAATATTGAAGTATTTGAATAAGTTATCATACACATCCACACATGAAATACTATGCAGCCACTAACATGATGATACAGATTAATATTTATTGACGTGAAAACATGATTATGTTGAAAATTTTAGCAAAACACATCACAGTACATGAAGTATGTTTTCTGTTTGTAAAACTGTGTGCATAAACAGGAAAAAGGCATAGAAGCATATTACATACAGAAAATATCAATATTAGTTATCTCTGAACTATGGGAATTTTACTGTCCTTAGAAATTTTTGCATTGTGTGCATTTGTTACAATCAGCAGGTACTATGATTAAAATTTTAAAAAGTGATTTCCATTTGAAAATATCTAATAATGAAGATACATGTAATTTATAGATAATTACATAGAAATAGCTTACTCTCCTTATTCTATGGGCAAATTGCTAACAAAAATGTTAAGAAATCATATACTCCCATTGAATTTTGTATGGATCTAAAGATTTTTATGTAAAAACATAAAAACTGAAAACATAAAACATTTTCTTATCGTTCAATCTGCGGTATGAATGAATCATAATTTTTAAATTAATTATGTAAATGTTATAAAAATTAGGCATTTATTTCTCTGCTTCAAAATGCATATTAAAAGAAAGCCCATCCAAAGGAAACAAAACACTAAGTGTAATATGGATGGACTGTAGATGGGTGGGAAGAAGAGGGAACAGTGAGTGAAATCCAGAAAATGTGTAGCCTAGAAATTATAAGCTAAATAATGTCACTGTAACGAAGGACAGGACATTCTGTACCAACTGTCAAGCAACCTCACAGAAAGAGAAGCATAGTGGATTAATAACTCTCATATGATAGATGAAGTCAAGTGATTTGACCTTTTCCTTCACTTTGAAATGTCTCTGAGTATTTTCCCATGGATACATTGAACAATTTACAAGAGAGAATGACAACTTTAATAGATGCTCCTCAAGTATACATACAAAGGAGTTTAGAAAAATGAGTCATAAGAATGCTCCTGAAAATGTTGTCCAATATCAAATGTGTGAGGAAAAGTTTTTAAGATGAAACTCATAATTTAAATCATTAATGCCTAGATTGTTAATATGCTAATGTATGAATAGAGAAACCACCAATATTCTTATGTCACTAGGTATTAAGTTCACAAAGAAAACTCCTGACACTTAGTCACAGTCACTGTTAAGTTTGTGGTATGCCCAAAATATATTTGAAAGTGAAAATAATTTAAATAAATAAAGGGAAGAAACAATGCATACATCTTTTGGAAAGAATATTCATATGAAGTAATAACTTAAAGTGAAATTGTGCATAAATGATAACTGCATCACATATATTTCCCCTGCACTACTGATTTCAGAAAAAGCAAGTGAGTTTTCAGTGTGATAGAACCAGACATATAAACCATTTTGAGAATCTGTACACAGAAGAAATTAAAGTATTATTGAAAATAAGCAAAGAAACATATTCGGTCAATTACCTCATCCTGACTCATTTAGGAAAACAAATGAGTGGAGGAATGAATTTTATTCTCCATATCCCTAAGAGTATTACATCAAAAAATAGTACAAAATGACAGTTTTACAGTTAGAAATTATGTTCTTCACTAAAATGAACATGGTTTTCTAGTTTTACCTTTTTTAAAAGAAAATATTCACTTTAAAAAAACACCTGTGAACTGGCATAAAATAACCTCTTCACACGAGTAACCCAAAGTAAGTAGGCAGCAGCTTAAGGCTGAAACAGACTGAGTATTCATTGTTTTTCTCACCACCTGCCCCTGGCTTGGCCCAGGGTCACGTGCAGCGGCCTGGAGCCCACTATACGCCCATTCATCTCATCCACGGCTTTGGTAGCTTCTTCAAATGAGGAGAAGCAGACGACACCGAACCCTTTGCCTTGCCCGACTTCCACCATCACTTTGGCTCGGCTGATGGATCCGAAGACAGAAAATTCCTCCTTTAGTTTCTCATCATCGATGGTCTCATCCAGGTTTTTAATATAGATGGGTACCCCGGGAGGCCGGCTCTTTTCTTTGACTTTCAGCCGCTGGAATCGTCGCCTTAGCTCCGCCAGCCTTTCGATTTTCTTCTGTGCCCGCCCCACGTACAGGACCTTGCCGTCCAGGGACTTGCCGTGCAAGTCAAGCACAGCCTTTTGCGCAGCCTCGTGCGTCTCATACCGTACAAATCCGAAGCCTTTGGATTTCCCGCTTGCATCTCTTATGACCTTGACGCTCTCCGTTGGCCCATATTCACTGAAAATGCCCTTCAGTTTCTCATCGTCTATTTCATCGCCAAAGTTTTTCACGAAGACATTGGTGAAAGTCGCTCTGTCCCTGGTCCTCACTTCGGCGGCCCGCTCCTCCGGGAATTTGAAGCGGCCAACGTACACCTGGCGGTTATTGAGCCGCACGCCGTTCATGTGCCAGATGGCTCTGTTGGCAGCCGCCAGGCTCTCGAAGTGCACGTAGGCATAACCCTTTGAGCCGTTGTCATCGCACACAACTTTGCAGGACAGAATGTTCCCAAAGGCAGAAAACAAATAGAAAAGGGCCCGGTTGTCTATGGATTTGTCCAGGTTTTTGATGAATATATTTCCAACTCCAGACTTCCTTAGGCGGTCATCTGGCTGAGACCACATGAGGCGGAATGGTTTGCCATTGATCAGATCAAAGTTCATGGTGTTCAGGGCCCACTCGGCATCTGCAGGAAAGCGGAAGTTGACATAGCCATATCCCAGGGGACTGCGTGTCTCGGGGTCACGGCAGATTCTGGTGAAGCGCAGGGGGCCAGCAGGTCTGAACTTTTTATAAAGCATATCCTCAGTGACATCTGGGTCCAAGTCACCCACGTACAGGGCAGCCTTGAGATATTTCTTTTTCTTGCCAGCAGGATTGGGCTCCCCACTGCCCATCTCTCTGAGCACAGAGAGGAGGCTCTCTTGGGAGAGAGAAGGATGCTTTCTCAAAGCTATGGGCCCAGCAGCTGTTCACACCCAGAAAAAGCCACCAGCAGACCCAGTCACACTGTTGAGGCTGAGAAAATGAAGTTCAGAAACACCTGGTCAGCAGGCTCAGAACAAACGCATCAGACAAAAAGGCATCCCAGTAAGGACTCTCTTCCACCTAAGGGACTCAAAATTTCCACCCTGTCAGATTTAAAATCGGCTTCAAAAGCCAGCAGGAGCAAAGCAATTTCCCTTCTCCTGTTCAATCGTAAGAAAGCATCAAGCAGCTGCCCGACTCCCTGCTTCTACCATTGCAGATCGAGGCCTCGCAACCCGTTTTCTGCATAAATACAGGCCTCGAGTTCCTCTTGGCTGAAAACCACATCAACAAGGGCAGGGGCAGAACGCGTATTCCTCCGCCGGCCGCCGGGCTGGTCGCCAGCAGGCTCCCAGCTCTCTAAGGCCGCTGCGCGCACTCGGTGTCCCCCAAAAGGGCACCCTCAGCACTTGGGTGCCCGGGGCCGGCCAGCCGGCCGGCCGGCCGGCCGGCTGCACGCGGCAGATCGGACAGAAAGACAGACACACAGACACATGCGCGGGGGCCCGAAGACCGCCCAGATACCCAAGACGCCCACTGGGTACGGACCGAGTGACGCACGCTGATTTCGGCAGCCCGAGACTCGCCGCAGGTCCGGAGGGACTGACTGGCAGGAGCGCACTGGGTCGCCTCTGATGCGAGGCGGTTCCGGACAGATGCGGGGCGGAGTCAGCAGCTAAGGGCAGATGCGGGGCGGGCGGGCGCCGCGCTGACCGAGGGACAGGGAAAGGTTTCCACGGGACAGACAGACCCAGGGGCGAAAAGCCTGTCTCGGTTGTAGGGCGGGGCGCGAGAAAACCCGGAACCCTGCTAAGTAACTTCCCACTTCTCTGTTGACAACATTCTTAAAAAAGAGACAGGAAAATAAAGAAGAAATGAACACGGTTTTTAGATTTATTTACTTATTTGTGGAATTTTAGGAGTTTTTTAAATTCTTTTAATATATTCACATTAGGCTGCTGATCCCCAAATCAGAGGAGATGACATAGGTGGGGAAAAAAACCATAATGTTTACAAACTAATCCCCTCAACCATTTCTGCTTCGGAAATGGGATGTAAGTTGCATCTTTTCCCTGAGCTCATTGCATAGGCAGAAATGCCAGCTCTCCATCCACTGCTAAAGGGTCACGGGGTGGAACGAAGCACAGGGACATGTTGTGCTGGGCCTTTATTCTTACTCCTTTGAACTCCACCATAATGGTCGCATTATCCCCAGGTAGTAGTACGAAGACTTCTTTTCACAGCTCCACTAATATTAATGATGGAATGTCTGGAGAGCCATAAAATGGCTTCTAATGGCACTTACTGCCACGAAACGTTAAAGATGTGCTACCTCCATAATCACAAATTATCAAATCTTCCTTAAAAAGATAAAAGTTTCGGAATCAATGCAAAATATATAATTAATGCTCACAGATGAAGCAAATGCATGAAGATATAGGCAGGTTACATAATTAAAAACGCATTTTTACCTTGAAACAGCTGCAGGGATGAATGCTGTAACACAGGACTCAACTCAAAGGTTTCCCAACAAGATCTCTTTAGTCTGGGAGGAACTGTTTTGCAGACTAACGTTGCCCTGCAACGTTTTTTGCTGGGAAAATCGCTACAACACACAAACTTCTCATGCAGCCCCTTCAACGACTTCTCTGCTCAAAAAAAAAAAAAAAATCCAGAAATACAAACATTAGGACTATTATATATCATTATATATAAGGACTATTGGCTTCTTGCTTAGGTCAGACATGAAAAATATTGGAGAAAAGGCAGATACAAATAATATTTTGCAAACATCTGCTTATTGTATTGTATTTTGAACATCATTTTCATAAAAATCTTTTCTGATAATCTTCATGAACAATAGGCTTTTTAATTAACTTTTTGAGTTTTTAGTTTTCTCATTTGAAGATCTGACTTTACTGAAAGTGCTATATTTAAAAAACTACATAAATCCAATGAAATAATTTCCACAGTATTCCTCCTGAATCAAATCAATATTTTATTCATTATATAACCATCTAAATGTTTTTCATATTGTAATTCATTTGTACATATATTCTCTAAGATAATAGATTGTGTTCTTGAGAATATTTATTCTCAAAACAACCTCCCATCTACACTCACTAGCCTTTGAGGCTTGGTGCAGTTTAAGCATTCTGAACTCTAGTAAACTTTTTATTATATGAAAAACTTAAACTTACATCTGCTTTGAAATACATTAATTTTAGTAAGATTCCCTCTGCTAAACAGAAGCTTGTGGGAGAAAAAAAAGCATTTGCACCTGTAATTTGGGTGATTGCTTTAGCATGAAGATTCAGAACATTCTCTGGAATAAATGCAAATAACATTTGTCATTTTTATTATATATCAAAGGTATCTTTATAGTCTGTATAACGTATTAAATCCATTAAAGGCCCCTACCCAGATTCCCGGGGCAGTTGGTTGACGCATATCAGAGGAAAGTTGTGATTTACACAGGCATGATTATTTTTTATGCTAAATTGTTAATAAGCCAAAAAAACCCTCCTTATTTGATATTTAACCAAATTTTTTGTATTTTGATTTTAATTTTATTTTCTAAACAATAACAAACATTGTATTTTCATTTTGGGGGTGAGGTAGTTTAGGTGCTTTATTTATTCAAGTCTGTAGCTCTAATTCATACATTTAAAACCCTATGGGATTTATTGAACTTTGAGAAAAACACTTCTATAAAAAGTTTAACATTTTTTCATTTGTTGCATGTACTAAATCCATGTTGAATTTTTTTAAAATATCCTGCTTCCAACTATGAAGAAATCTGAGTATTAAAAACATTAAAAATATAGCAACTTTATATACTTACCTTCAGTTAGGTGACTCCTTTCATTACTTCCTATGACTTTAACATGTGAATTTCTGCAGTTGCTGTGTGTTCACAACCTGCACACTTAGAGTTTTATATAACACATGTGATGGTAGAATTAAAGAATTTCCTGTTAGGATGCACTGAGATAAGATAGGAGTATCACCTACTTGACAGACACTCTCACACAAATCTTCCTCCTACGAAGGCCTGTTTCCTGAACATATGTTTTGTACAGAAAAATCACACAGAGCGCACACTGACAAACACGTGCTCACAAACACTCACCATGTTCTCTGATTAAAAATCTGAGTCATAGCCATTTCACTTGAGCTAGGACAAATATAAACTAATTTTTAAAAAATAAAAACTTGCCTTGGCTGGCATAGCTTGGTGGATTGAGCACGCACGGGCCAGTGAAGCAAAGGGTCACCAGTTTGATTCCCAGTCAGGGCACAAGCCTGGGTTGCAGGCCAGTTACTTAGTAGGGGGCATGTGAAAGGCAACCACACACTGATACTTCTCTTCCACTCTTTCTCCTTCCCTTCCCCTCTCTCTAAAAATAAATAAAATAAAATATTTTATTTTAAAAAATAAAATAAAAACTTGATGCTTGATATTTATATTCAAAGTTTTTATGGTTAAATGTACATAAAATTGACCTTAACAATTTTGAATTGCACAATTCGGCAGCTTTAACTACATTTACATTGTTGTGCAAACCACATCATTATTTATGTCCAGAACTTTTTAGCCAAACTAGAGCTCTGTACCCAATATATGTATGCTTTTAGATGACACAAGCAATACTGTCATAAACATCGCAATTCAGGGACTTTTATATATTATTGCTCTTATTTTTATTGGATAGATTCCCCAAAGTGGGATTGAACACTTAAATAGTATGTATATTGTTAAATGTTAATATATACAGTCAGACTTCAAAAAATGCCTCTACAATCTACTTTTTTTACCAACACAAAAATTTAGAGGAAATGGATAACTCCTAGCAAAACAGGAATTACTACATGTGCTTCAAAGGAAAAGTGGAAGGACATGTGATTTTGTTCAAGACATATGATTTTTATAATTCAGTATTGTTGCATTAATCTTTGAGAAAACACATGTAGGGTTAACACTATTCAAACTATTCCCAAATCCAAAAGGCTCCCTGAGTGACATTCATAAAATTATCTCCAAGATAAAATTTAAGCTAGGCTCACATTTCAAATCAGAAGAAAGTGATGGTCAGTCCATTTACTTCCAGAACTCAGCTGTCTCTTGGACTCTGTGGCTATAGGAAGAGGAAGGGGCCTGGGCTCAGTTAAATGTTACACAACAAGGACTGAGAAGGGAGGATGTGATGGGAAGAGAAAGAAAGACTTCTGGTTTACAAGGTCAAAACAAAGGGACATATTGTACCTCTTGACCCTGACATCTTGCACTTTTGTCTTTTCTCCTGGACTCCCGCCCATGATTTCTTCCATGGAGTCAACTAGCCTCCCATCTGGCCCTCTTCCCCTTTGCGGCAGTCCTGGAGCAGCCAAAGAACCTGCCTTTTCGGGAAGAGTTCAAAGGAGGACAGCTTCAGTGTTGTCACTTTTGCCTCCAGTGAAGTTTCAGGCTTAATTTGTTCTAGCACCCACTTGTTCACATTCTTCCAACCTGGCTGTTCAGAAATGTAAAACATAGAGAATAGTTCTCCACAGATAAGAAAGTCTTAACGTTTCAGTAAGCAGACGATTGAGGGAAATTTTCAGCTTCTCTTCCTGACACAGAAGTTTAAAACTAAAACAATACAATACTGTTTAATCTGTACCAACTGGAGGATAATAGAGTTACTTTCTCTTAAAATATCCAACACCCCAAATCCCTGCCTTATGGCTAATAGCACACTAAGTATTCTGTGTGTCCCGTTTGTTCTGAAATGATTATCTTTCTGTTTTCAGACATGCAGCAGTAGTCATATTAAATAGACATTAGATGTACAGAGAGAAATACATTTTCCACGTGGCCTTTGAATTCCTTAGTACTTCTCCTTTTTGCTTATTTATTTATTACATTTTTGTCACAATTGACGTATCTTATTGTATTAGTTTCAGATATGCAACATAGTGATTTGTCATTTGTTACAATGTAGCCATCTGTACCTTTCAAAGTTACCATGTTATTGACTACACTTCCTCCCTGCATATTACCTCCCTGTGGCTTCTTTATTTTATAACTGAAATTTGTGCCTTTTATTCTCCTTCATCTTTACACTCAGTCTTTGAATGCACTCCACTGTGGAAACCATGTTTGTTCTCTGAATCTATGAGTCTGTTTTTATTTGAGAGAGGGGGGCATTAAAGATTTTATTTACTTATTCTTAGAGAGAGGGGAAGGGAGGGAGAAAGAGAGGGAAACACTGAAGTGAGAGACAAACATGGATCAGCTGCATCAGCTGCCTCTCACATGCACCTTGACCAGGGACTTGGCCCACAAGCCAAGCATGTGCCCTGACTGGGAATTGATCCTGTGGCCCTTCTTCCCCTTGTGGGCCGATGCCCAACCAACTGAGCCACACTGGCCAGGGCCTGTTTTTTTTGTGGTGTTGTTGTTGTTTGTTTGTTTTGTTTTTTAGATCTCACAAGTAAGGGGAATCATATGGTATTTCACTTAGTATAATATCTCCTAGGTCCATTCATGTTCCAAATGGCAAGATTTTATTCTTTTTCTTAGGTAAGTTTAAGATCTTCCTATGCTGCCACCTTGAACTGACCTTGACCATGATTTTTAATACACTCTTAGAAGTAAGATTCTTTCTGCATAGATTTTTTTTCATGTATTCCTCTTTAGGGGGGGGTGTCATTACAAAAATAATACTACCTTTATAAAAAGTT